AGACTCAAGACAGCCATAACATTATGATTTTTTACAAGTGTATGTACACTTTTGACCACAACTGTATGACTTCGATTGTGTTTGTTTTTTATTTCTGTTTATTGTTTTATTTTGGTCCCAGTATTATCTGTTTCCTGCTAAATTAAAAGTTTATTGGTCTTTGAGAGAGCAAACTTGCATTATTATACCACATGATTAGAAAATGGTCTCAAACCAACACAATTGTTTATCGCAATAACTGCTGGGACAATTTATCGTGCAGCAGTTTATCGTGACAGGCCTCGTTGTGAATCTTACATTAATTCCGATGTCGTAAACGAGCTTTTTTGACGTTTCAGTGCCAGAACCAGCCAAGCCCTCCTGTTCCCAGCCGCTCGCCACCCCAGGCTCAGCGTCCCCCAGCCCTGGCCCCGTTTCCCCGTCGTCCCCCAGTCCTGGTGCAGGTGGGGGTTCCGCCCAAGTCCCTCCTGGTGGCGGGAACAATGCAAAGCAGCGAACTGCTGTGGCCAACGGACAGCCCTCCTCCGCCTCGTCTCCTTCTGGAAGTCAGAGTTCGCAGCAGCAGCAGCGATACATGTCTAGAGAAGTCCCACCGCGATTTCGCTGCCAGCAGGACCATAAAGTGCTACTGAAGAGGGGCCAGCCGCCGCTGTCCTCCATGCTGTTGGGGGGAGGGGAAAGCAGTACGGGAGGGGTGGGAGGAGGCAGTGGCTGGGATGTTGCCCCGTCCTTACAGGGGGCAGAAAGCCCCAATGCAAACGCCGACGGAAATACAGGTGAGGCTAAAGGCAACCAGGTGTAGAGCAGAAAGATTAAACATGCAGATTTCTGTATTTCGATGTACGTTTAGCTGATGTTAACTGAAAACATAAATCTAGAGAAAAGCAGTTTTCCATAAATGGGAACTTTGTAGAAGAAACACTGAATGCCTTTTGAAAAACAAATCACAGTGTTGTTCTAATAAGGGGTGCACCGATTGCCCTTTTCTGGCCGATCACCAATATTTAATAAGCCTGACTCACCGATTCCAATTTTGGCCGATACCGATTTCTTTTGTCTGAAAAGTTGCTAAATATAGTAACAAAGTTGCCAAGTCGGCAGCAGTGGGACGACTATTGTTAGCGGCACATGTGCAGGCGTGACCTGGTGGGTGAGTCAGTCGGTCAGATCTCCCTCAGGCAGAGCTAAAAGGAAAAGTGACTGATTTTCAGACCTTTGTGAAGGTAGATAAGATTGATTCCTCATGCAAGAACCACCAAACAATAAGGAAGCCTGTGCCGATTCCTTGGTGCAGAATAAAACTGACCAAGTCTCCAGAACTGTCGTATCCTTCAATAGATTTGGTTGAAAACTGGAGGAACCCAACATCCCAGTTACAGTAACTTCTTCAACTTCTGTCCACAGATTCCAACGTGGGTTCATCCTCCCCTTCACCCCCCACCTCATCCTCATTTTGTGTTGCTGCTCTGTCGTCTTCTACTACTACTTCAACTTATGCAAATTCCACATGGGGGGCCGGCTCCGGCGGCCAGTCCTCCTCTCAGGGCTGCGGGAAGGTGTTTATGGATGGGACTGACCTGGATGACTGGCCTAGCATCACTGCTGGCCCCAAACTGATTTCTGAAGGGGCTGGAGGAGGGATGCAGGAGCAGGACTGCCCTGGTAACAACAACAGTAGTGCCTCATGGGGGGAGAGAAACATGCAGCAGAAGGGAGGAACTGCAGGAGGAGTACGAGGAGGAGAAGGGAACATGGACAATCTTTCCCCACCTCGCTCTTCTCCTCTTTCTTCTTCTTCCTCGCCTATTGAATGTGCTCAGCCAAGTGGTGTGTGGGTCTCCTCCGCCGCGTCCCAAGTGGAGGTAGACCAAGGCTCGGCAGCATCTTACAATTCCAAAGTCTCCCATCTTCTTCCTGGGCCTCAGGAGAGCCCGTTGGGTGGCAGCAGCAACGTCCCTGGTGCCAATTTCAACCCTAATGTGAACCCGTCTGCCTGGCCCGCCCTGGGGCAGAGCGGGACCTCCGTTCCGGCTTGTAGCGCCTCATCGCAACACTCGTCCGTGACTTCAGCTTCCTCATTCTCTGCCAGCACCACTGTCATCACCACTCAGACACTTTCATCTGTGAATCAAACTGGTCTCTACCAGCAGCACACTGAAACCGCTGTGGGGGCCAAGACTGGAGAACAGCAGCAGCAGCACTTAGGAAATCCAGGGCCAGAGCCGTGTTCGGGCGGGGCGGGGAGAGAAGCGGGACCAAATCAGGAAGGCGTCAACGAGGGAAACTCTGAGGTTGGCGGTGAAGGTGAGGCGAATACTTCTGGGTCTCTGTCTTCCTCCTCTGCTGCCTCGTCATCTTGGAGCGCCATGCCTCCGGTGACCTCCGAACCTGGCGCTGGTGCCTCGCAGGCGGACGGGTGGGGCGGAGGGGGTACAGGAGCTCAGGGGCACGAAGGGAACGTTTGGAGGTTTGGTAGCCAGGACGACAAAGCCGGGTGGGGCAAGGGGAATGGCGGGGGGTCAACCAACCCAGTTGTATCTCAGGGAGCTTGGGAAGGAGGAAGTACAGAAGTGAATTGGGGCGGCACCGCAGAAAGTGTAGGTTCTATTAACTTAGCAATAGGAAGTGGAGGAGAAGTGGATGGAAGCAGCATCAGCAGCAGCACGGACAGCGGCGGCGGCGGCTGTTTAGAGGACTCTGCCTCGCAAAACTTAGCAACTATGACAAAAGCTTGGGACAATCAGAAAGGGATGGAAGGTGGAGACGGGACAGTCGGGGAGTGGGGAGGCCCAGGAGAGCCGGGTGGAGCTGTCGGAGGCGGTGGGGGACATTCGTCGTCGAGCGGCGGTGGATCTGTCGCTGGAAGCGGAGGCGGACAGAAGGAGCGCTCCGCGCGGCACCATTCCGACCATTCCTCCGGGGCAGACGTGGCCTTACTTAGCATGCTCAACAGATCCGACCTGGACCCCCGAGTTCTGTCCAACACGGGCTGGGGCCAGACTCAGATCAAGCAGAACGTGGCCTGGGACCTGGACACCTCAAAAGGTGTAGGGAACAGAAACGAAAGAAACCCTTCATCTTCCTCTGCATTCTCATCAGCAACCATAAACACTACCACCATCCGCAGCTCCAGGTACCCCTCCGAGAGCGGTTCTGCGTCCAATGATGTGTCATCCGGCAGCCTAAACTCTGGCCCCGCTACGCCCAGGGACAATTGGGAGGGTGGCGCTACGCAGTCTACTGGTGGTCCTTTTATGCCTAGCAGCACCATGAGGAAGCCAGGATCGCCGGAAGACGACATCCAGGGCGGTCAAGGAAAGGCAGCTGGAGGATGGGGGGAACCCCCACCTGACAAAGAGGGCAAAGGATGGAGGACGGACGACCAGCAGTGGGGAGGTCACAGAGGAGGAAGGAAAAACTGGCAAGACTTTGAACAACAGGGTAGCGGGTGGGGAGACGGAGCAGAAGACAAAGGAACAGGGGGGTGGAAAGGATCTACAAGAGGAGAAACGGGTGGTTGGGGAGAGGAATGGGGCAAGAGAGACTCGGCTTCTGGGGCCGGGTGGGGAGACGGGAGGAGTAGAGTCGGAAGCAACTCCGATGAGGGATCCTCCTGGGGAAACGTGGACGAAGGGGGATCTCAGCGAGGAGGGTGGGGCAGTGGAGGAGATGTGGGTGGAGGCAAATCCCACCAGGACTGGGGGGGCGCCAAACCCAACGCAGCACAGATACCAAACAGCCAAGCGGCACCAACGAAAGCCCAAAATCATCATCATCATCATCAACAGCAGCAGCAATCACCGGGGGGGTGGAACAGCCAGCCGAGCGTCGGAGGCGGAGCTCAACTTTCAAAGAACCAGAACCAAAGTTTGGGGTGGACCTCTGGCCCGATTCCTCAAATCTCCGGAGGCACGGGGGACCCGCTGGAGCCCAGCGGCTGGGAGGAACCGTCACCTCAGTCCATAAGCCGGAAGATGGAGATCGACGACGGCACGTCAGCCTGGGGGGACCCAACGCGCTACAACAACAAGAATGTGAACCTGTGGGACAAGAACAGCACCGCGCCGGGGTCGAATCAAGGCCCACAGGGTCCGCCGCCGCCAGCGATGCAACAGCAGCCTCCGAGACGGCAGCACAGCATCAACTCCAACCCCGGCAGTGGAGCAGTGGGTAAGGGAAGCGGAATAACAATCAGGACTGATTACAAGGCGTCCGTTTTCCATAGCAAATTATAAAACTAAATGTTCAATTCCTTTACAGGCATGTGGGGTGGAGCTGCACAAAGCGTGGATGATGGTACAGCGGCTTGGGGCCAGGCGTCGGACGCTGCGACCGGCTGGGGAGAACCGGACGATTCCAGCAAATCATCTGGCTGGAGGAACCCTTCACCCAACCCCAGCAAACCTGGTAGGAACCGAAACCTTTACTTATGCAGCTCCAGTGGTTTTTGAAGATTTTAATCCACTTTTTAGCACCAATACCCAGTTCTTCTCAAGAATCTCTAGGCTGGGCTGCTTCTTAAGCCGTCTTGCTTTGTTTTTGCTGCAGGAGTGAAGTCGGTGGACAGCTGGGGCGGGAAGGGCGATGGCCCCATCGCTGCGTCCCGGCACCCGAGCTGGGAGGATGACGAGGATGGCGGCGGCGGCGGCGGAGTGTGGAACAGCGCGGGTTCTCAGGGAAGCGGCTCGTCATTTAACTCTGGAGGCTGGGGACAGAGCCACCCTGGGAAGAGAGGAAACATCAAGGTTAGGAACGGGGCGACCTTTCTGGAACAGAATCGTTTTCTTTCTTCTATTTGCTTATTTTTTAACTTTGTTTTTTACTCTTTTCCCACATTGATGGAAACAAAGACGCTGTCGATAGTCTTTCAATCCAAACAGATAATCACACAGCCAATGATAGATGTTTCATGTTGCGTCCATCTTGATTTTCTCTTTTTTTTAACCATGTACATCATTATTTATGGAAAAATAACTATTTTTAAAACTTTTTTTGCTTGTTTTTGATTGAGAGCGATGTTTGGGTTTCTTACAGAGTGGAGGAGGCGACAGCTGGATGAATCCAGTATCACGCCAGTTTTCCAACATGGGTCTTCTGGTAAGAAGTTCTCCAAAAATCCCAAACCCCTTCACTTTTATAAGAAGTTATCATTAAAAACATTCCTATTTTTATTTTTTTTCTTAGGGTGATGATCCTGGGGTGGATAAAAAGATGGACGGGGACAAGAGAGGAATAAATGACTACAATGGAGAGATGCGAAGAGGAGGACGAAGCGGAGGAGGGTACCGCATGCCTAGTTCCAAAGACATGGGCCCTGGTGACATGGGACCCTACGGTGATAAGGCAAGAGTCTTATTATGCTATATTTACGTAATTTCAACATTACATTGAAATCACAAGTCACTTGAAACTGTTCAAAGCCTTTAGTTTGACTCTCAGCACAGAGTTGCTAATGGTTGGTGGCACGTTGTTGTTCCAGATGGGTGGCCATGGAGTGTTTGTTGCAGGTGGAGGAGGGATGTCTCAGCCTCGAGGGATGCACCAGCCTGGCATGCATTCGATGAACGCGTCCCCAGGGTTACGGGCTCAAGTGCCTCATCAGTTCCTGTCTGCTCAGGTTGGCTGTCCTCCATCGTCTTCTCCTTCTTCTTCTTCTTGTTTTTGCCAAACAAAACAAGTATTTATCTCGCTGGTACCGCTAATTTTTATGGTACCCAATGAGAGTCATAGTCATTGCAATTTTGCTGGCATCTTTTAGTTGTTTGGTTCCCGTGGTAACCTGTTGTCGGGCTGTGATGTTCTCCGCTACTTTCATTATTGATTCTGGTTTTAACTCAGAAATGCGCCACAGCATCAGGATACAGGTTTCACACCAGCTGGATTCAGAGTTGTTGCTATGGAGACGGTCAAAAACACAAGTGGCTTGCACTTGCGGCTGCAAATATTTAAATATCACAACGTTGTGTAAACAATGACAACATAAAGTGATTTGTCTTTTTTTCAGTTGTTCCGGTCTGTGATTGGGCGAAATTCGATTGTTGCATCATTATCAATAAATTTCAAGAAAATGGTCTCAAAACGACAAAATTAACTTTTTTCAATAATCACTGGGGCAGCAAAGTTTGTTACATTTTCCTTATTTCTTCATTCCTCAGCGCCTATAGACTGTGGCGTATTCCAGCTGTTGAGTAGAAAGTCTTGTTTAGTGACAAAAGTACATAACGTTCCCAAAGCACCTGGAATCAATGCAATTCAGTTTTTTTATCATGATTCATTTAGTGTCACCAAGCCCCCATTTTATATGTAATCTCTCGCTCTATTTTTTTTATTTTTTATTTTTATTTTTTAACCCTACAGGTGCCGGGTCCCATGCTGAAGCAGATGCCCTCTCCTGGTGGCAGCGTAGGGGGAGTGGGAGGTGTCGGCGGGGTCGGTGGTGTCGGTGGAGGAGTGTTCCCGCCTCAGATTTCCCCGCAGCAGCTTGCAGTGCTCAGCAACATTTACCCCCACATGCAGCAGTTCCATCTGGTACGCGCCAAAACGTTACGCAGCTCACCAACATGAGTCACCCGCTGGCGACCCTTTCGCAAGAACGAATCGGCCATTCAAGCGATTGTTGAACGTTGATTTTTAAAAAAACGTTTCTTGCCGTCGTCTGTGGCAGGCTTGTCAGCTGCTGATACAGCAGCAGCAGCAGCAACAGCAACAGCAGCTCCTGCAGAACCAGAGGAAGTTCCCCCAACCTCAGCCTCTCAGGCAGCAGACAGACCCGCAGCAGGTGAGCATTTCAGAGATCTTCTTAATCATACACATCTTTGGTTCAACTGCTCTTCCTTGATCACACAACAAAGAAGAGGCCACTCTGTCAGGGCTGCCACTGTTAGCCGACGTCATCCAGAGACATTCAGAAGTGTTGCAGAGCAAGGCGTGGCGCCTCCGTGGACAGACTCCTCCGGAGAGGGTTGTTATGGTTGCGTTTTTGTTTTTTTGTCTCCCCCCCCACCCCACTTAAGTTTCAGCGGGTTGAGTTAGGTTATTGTGTTGCTAAGCAACATGACTACACAATGAGATTCACAGTGATGGTTGCTGAGTGAAGACAGTTTTATTTCTGTTTGCTAAAGCGTTAGCCACCGCAGCAGTGGAACAAGTGAAGACATGAGAGGTCGTCTGATTGGACGTTGGGGTTAAAAGCCATTTCATTGCTTTGGATGATTCTGGATGACCCTTAACTAAGTTCCAGTTCAAAATCTGAATGATACAAAACTGATGATGCAGATACAGGCAATGTACACAAGTACCCAGACTTTAGTTTGTTTTTGATTTATAGAACTACAGATAAATAAAGGATTATAATATAAAGTTAATAAAACACAAGATGATGAAACATGTCTAAGCAAGTATACAGACGAGTGCAGCCAATATGTTTTTTTGTTGGCGTTTCTTAGTGGGTGTGGCTTATAATCAGGTGCGCTAACTAGTCCAGAAATTATGGTACTTGCACATTTTCTCATTCTTCTTCCTTTGTGTTTCTTTCTTCTCAGCTGGCGAGGATCATGGCGATTCTCCAGCAGAGGCAGCAGCAGCAGGTTGGAGTTGGAGGAGCAACACCTGGAGGAGGGAACTCCAAGCTGTCCCCCTCTCACCTGGGAGGAGGCGTATCCAAACAATCCATGGTAGACCCCCTCCCACACACTGGGATGGGGGGTCCCTTATCAGATCTTCATGCCAAATCACAAGGAATGTATTCTGGTACGTTCCTCCAGACAGCTGATGTTTTTACTCACCCATCAGCCGGAGTAAAGGATTGATCCAGGATTTTTTTTATTTTTTCTGGTCAGGGCTCACAGCTGGTGGCAACCTGTCGACACTAGAACTCAGTCCCATGATGGGGGGCATGAAGGACATGAGTGGACAACAGTCCCGCTTTAAATGGATGATGGAGGGACATTCCCCTGCTCCGTCTCCTCCAGACACAGCCCTTCACAAGAATGGTAGGCCAGCAGATGGTTCCCACTGGGATTTTTTCCCCCTGCATCTCCAAACGTCACACCTCCGCTGCTGCCGCGACTGCATTACTCACTCGCCATTCAGTGTATCTGAGCGTGGCGCAGCAAATGACTAAAGCTGTTGTGTGTTGTTTTTTTTTGCTATCCGCAAGGCCCTATACCCAGTACGATAAAGGTTCGAGGAGGGTCTCCGTACTCCCAGTATGAAATGCTGGGCAGTGAAGGTTTAGGGATCCCACCTCAGGGCTCTGCAGACAGCTGGCACCGAACTCCTGGTAGTAAGATGGGAAACAAACCTGCCACTTCAAGCTGGCCTCCAGGTGTGGACATGCTGCTTCTTTATCATTTTATCTGTTTCCATCTTACAGGATCAGTGACAGTCTGAGGAAAACTTTACACTTATGTTTTTACAAGTTACATAGAGCTGCAACCTTCAATTATTTTAGTAATTGAATTGATAAATTGGCACATTCTGCAGATTTTTTTTTTTATTGATCCACTGCAGTCTTTTATTTACACAATATCAAAAAATAAAGAAATCAATTCCCTTTTTAAATAAGAAAGTGCTTCATTGTTTAAAATGTAATAACACAACCTTCATGTAGTGTATCCTTGAATATTTGTAGATTTTTTTTTCATTAACTATTCAGTAACTGGATAGCAAAAGGTGCTTAAGAGAAGACTTCTTTGTTTTGTTTTTTTACAGAATTTGAATCAGGTGAAGCTAAAGCTAGGTTTTCTGGGTAAAATGTATTTACATTTTTTTTTTTTCTTAAATGCAAGTGTATATATATTTTTGTACAGTTTTGGCTTCATTACTGCTCATGGTATACTGTTTTTCCAGCAGGTCAACGATTGATTTCTAAAAAAATTTTGTCCATTATTTCAATAATCAATTAATCACAAATAATCTGATTAATTGTTTCAGCCTTAAAGTTAAATAACAGCAGATTAAAGATTGTAATTCAGAATTAGTGAACACTGAGGATTGTAGAACGTAGCCAAGGCTTTAAATTTTAATACATGCAAATTACCCAGATCATTTAAAGCTACTCATGTTTCCGTTGTGACAGAGTTCCAGCCCGGTGTGCCATGGAAAGGAATCCAGAGCACTGGGGACCCAGAGTCTGACCCCTACATGACCCCTGGCAGAGTCCTCGGCTCCCCTGCATCCCCAAATCTCAATGATCCGGACCACCCATTACTACGAGACAACATAGGTAATTCACTCCCAAATATCTTCCAGTTTTTAAGTTCCTGGTTTGAGTGTTTACATATTATCCTTGAGACAAAAGTACATGATGTACTAACTCTAAAAATGATGCTTGGACCAACTGAAAGATAATAAACTCTTATTATACCACATGTACTGTTAGTTGCTGTTGGATTATATTGTATTTATTATATAGTCAATGTTTTAAAATCATTTTTTTAAATTTTTGAATAAAATAGTTTACCAAGACAGGCAAAGACATGATAGTGCCCTGGTAGTTTAACAAGATTTTCTGAAGTTTTCTTGCTTCATCATAAAAATGTTATCAAACCTCTAAGCCTCGTTCACATTATAACCAAATATCAGGATTTTATGTGATAGCTTAACAGAAAGCAACACATAATCATAGAGTAGAAAGAAACTTTTTATAAAATTTCTTAAAGTATTTTTGAGGTTGAATATAAAAGCATAAATTAAGTTCCTTCCAAAAGGGAATGACCCTATTTTCTGTTGAAACACTTAATTTTTTTTTTTTTTTTTTTTTTACAATGGCTTAGTTAAAGTACGGGACTAAATCTACAAACTTTTCAGGTTTCATGTGTATCCCATAAAATGTCAATAAAAAAGATTCCTTTAAGCTTTTTTTCCTAAAACATGGTGAAGCTGAAGAGTAGCTACCAAAAGCAAGAGGCTCATGGTTAATATCCCGGACAAGCCCCCAATTCATGTTCTTTTTCATGTTGTTGAGCTGCAGCGTCAAATGGACAACTGAACAGGAAATGGGTAATAGTTTTTGTGACAGCCATTCAATAATAAAAGTCGTCAACAAGCGGATCTGCCCTCTCTCTATGCGTGCTGTTAATCTGTGCTCTCTCAGGTGCAGCCAATTAACCCAGTCTAGCTAACAGCAACTGTTGCCGTACTGTAAATCCTGTGAGGATTTTAGATAAACTCTAAAGGAAATGCCACATTTCTAAGGAATAAATAAAAAAGAGAACACTCCTTATCGCTGAAGCTTCACTGCTCTGTGTATTGTAGCTCAGTCCAGCCCGTTTCCTGGAGCCCTCACACGAGGACAGTCTTCTTAATGGCTCAGTATTTGGGCTGTTACTTTCTTTTTGCTGATGTTTGAACCGTTTGTAGGGCCAAACCCCTCCCTCAACACCTCGCTGCCTTCACCTGGTGCCTGGCCCTACAGTGCCTCAGACAGCCCCCTCAGCAATGCACACAGCACAGGTCTGATTTCTATTTTGCTTCTTCTTTGCATTCAACTCCTTTTTTTGCCCCACTCATTAATTTGGAATTCAAATCACTACATGGTCGTATGTTCTGTGTTTTAGAAAAGTTTCCCCAGGTTTTCTCTCTGCTAAGCTGTCATATCTGCAACTTGCCTCTGTGTAGCTTGCATTTCATAACTCATTTATTTCTCCCACTCTCCATACCCCTCCCAGGAAAGTACTCTGAGTACAAGCCCAGCTGGCCTCCAGAGCCCATCGGACAAAACAAATTATGGAAGACCAATCGCAATAGCTCGCAGCTGCCGCGTCCCCCTCCTGGCCTGACCAATCAGAAGCAGGCCTCGCCCTCCCCGTGGGGAACTGGAGGTCCGCGGTTGGCTCGGAGCTGGGGAGGGATGAATCAAGAGTCAAGATTTGGGTCAGGTACTTTGGAGAGAGAATTGGTTTCATAACAGTTTTTTTTTTTTTTTTGTCAGCTTTTGTTTTGATTTTATACTGTTAAGAAAAGGTTTCATGTATCATAGCTTCTGACTAGCATGGTTAGCATAACAGTGTTTCTGTTTCATCCTCTCTTTTCCTGTTACACGTTTGTTTTTTCTAGGCTCAGCTTGGAGTGATGGTACCTCTAGAAGCAGCTGCTGGCTGCTGCTGAGAAACCTGACCCCTCAGGTAAGGACAGAGGAGGCTCACATGGACACAGGAGACTAAAAATATCAGCATTGTTTGGAAATTTAACTCAGAACAATAATTACAGTAGCAGAGGTAGGTTAGATTTACTTGTCGGTAACCTCTATATTTTAGTCAACGTCAATATTTGAATTAGTCATCTAAATAAACTATATTTAGGCAGGTTCACATAAAAGGTTTTCTGATAAAAGATCTGTGGGATACAGAAAGTTACAATCCCTTTTATGCAAAATCCTGAATGTTGCTCACTGATAACCAACTTTTAATCTAATTTTATCATATTTTTAAAGTGATTACATTGTTTTTTTATGATGCAACTGCTTACTGTGTGAAAATAATGCAGTCCCTTTCAAAAGTGGCACACCCTTTAAGCTGCGGACAAACTCAAGAAACTTTTATGTGATGAGCCAGACAACGTGATATGTAATTTTAAAGTGGAATAAAATCCTGGACTTTTCCAAATTTCTCACCTATAAAAATCTGAAGTGGATCTTTGGATTTGGATTCAGCCTCACCGACTTCCATAAACAAAGAAAATAGGATAGTTTAGATAAAAGCGTATTCATTCTCACACTCTAAAATAAGTATTATCAGATCAAACAGACTCTGCTAGAGTTGGGCTGCAGAGATAACTCAGCCATTTAATGAGGATTAACAGAAATTACTTTTTCAGGACATTCCCCAAACACTTCTGGGCTTACATTAGTAATGCACACCGATTATCTCGCTGGAGACGTTGTAGCGGTCTATCTCACCGTAATGATTAAGACATTATAAATGAATTCAATGCAAAGTGCGATGTCTGCATTATTAACATGCAGCTTTTCCTCTGCATAACCTTTCTTACACAACCGCTGACATTCCTTGACCTTTTCTGGCCCAATACTGAATGAACCTGGTGAAATGTTTTACACCAAACATTATTTTTTTTTTCTTTTTCTGATTCTAGATTGACGGCTCCACGCTGAGGACTATCTGTATGCAGCACGGCCCCCTGCTGACCTTTCACCTGGGCCTAACCCAGGGCAGCGCTCTGGTTCGATATAACAGCCGGCAGGAGGCGGCCAAGGCTCAGGGTGCTCTTCACATGTAAGTTCACCAGCAGCCCGGATCCAGTGCTTCTCAAATATTGTTTATAAAAATAAAACGCAATAGATGCTTTAGAGCTTATGGTTGTAAGTAGGGAGGAAGTTACCGATTAATGAGTTAATCTAAGGTTGATTATTCCCATCAGTCAACTAATAAGCGGCCAGAACCAGTTTCCTCTTGTTTTAAATTCCCCACTTTTATGACTATATTCTGATAATTTTATATATTTTTTATATATTTTGTTGTCTTGACATGCCCTAGCACCGTTTTGAAATATAAGGTGCATCTTGCATCTCACTCCAGACTCCGTTTGGACCGTTTCTTTTTCCTGTTGTATGTCTCCGCCATCTTAATTCCTGTATCATCTGGCTCCAATTAAGGAAGACCAGGGCGCCCTCTGCTGGATGGCGGCTAACCTATAGCACAAAAACATGGTCTAAGCGGACATTATTAGTTAATCAATTGATTTCTTAGATTGAAATTAGTTCCAATCGATAATCATAAGTCAAATAGTTTTTTGCGGCTCTAGTTATAACATAAGAAAACTTTGAGAAGTTTAATGACTGAATAATGTTGTATTCCTAAAAGACGTCTTCCTTGACTTGCCTTCCAGGTGTGTTCTGGGAAACACCACCATCCTGGCTGAGTTTGTGAGTGAAGAAGAGGTTGCACGCTATTTTGCACATTCCCAGGCCGAAGGGGCCGGCTCGGGAGGAGCGGCGGGCAACGGCGCGCCCGGTTCATCCGGAACGGGCGCGGCCGTGGCCAGCAGCGGCGGGAGCTCCCCTGGGAGTGAGCGACCGGCGGTGGGTTCGTCTTCAGGCGGAAACGGCGGCGGAGGGGAAAGGTCGTCCGGCTCCGGGTGGCAGAGTCTCGACGGTACAGGCGCGTCTTCGGAAGCGTCTTCGGCCCAAGGACCGGGGCTCGCGATATTCTCCCAGTGGAGCACCAACGGGGCCGGGGAAGGAGGCGTCGGCGGGGTGGAGAGCGGGCGGTCTGGGCTGTGGGGCGGCATAAACGCAGGATACCCGAGCAGCAGCCTGTGGGGAGCGCCTCAAATGGAGGAAAGGCACCAAATGGACGGCTCCGCCGGACTGTTGCCTGGCGACCTGCTGGGGGGAGGGGCCGACTCCATCTGATGAGCCCACCTAACGAGTAGTACGATTGGATTTGAACACACTGATAGGGCATACACTGGGATACATATGTACTTAATATGGCACACATATTTACATGGTATGCATATTGATGTACTGAATACATACCCGTGCGTACATATACTAGTATGCATATTAACGTGCACACACTTAAAGCAGAAATGTGAGACATGCTTACACACATTCTCATGGCCAGACTTAAGCTATTATATATATGAAAAAAACAAAAACAAATGCAGGGACTGTTAGATGTGTATTCAGCCTTTTTTTCCACACATGAAGATTTCAACTGCTTAGACTTGAAACCTGAAAAAGAATGAAAAAGAAAAGTCAGTGAGTCTTAAAGACTCGACTGGATCACAATGTGCTTAGTAAGTAGGGGGACTTTTTAACCGATTTACATGAACATGCACACACCAAATACAGAGAAGCCTTCAGACAGACAGGCACTGTAAACAGCATTACCTTCATCATTATAAGAGAACACTGAGGAGCGCAGTTTGTATTCACATCCCCTTAAAGACAGAGATTGAATCCAAACACATGCAAAACGGCTCTGATCCAGATCAGGGCTGTATCTTACTGTGTATGTTAAGTTTGTTTTTTTTTTGTTGTTTTTTTTTTGTTGTTTTTTTTCTTGTTTCGTTTGGATCTATGATTTTAATTTTTGAATAGTGAAATTTTGAGAAAAAAAAAACTAGAAAAAAAGTCATTGATCTGTTTTCAGAAATGCTGACCTCCTACTGTTGTTTCTCACGCACTCTTTGGTTTAGTTTTTTTTTTTTTTTCTGTTATTCGTTCTCAAACATGTTTGTTACTGTTGCAGTGATACATGTTTAATTGCTGGCATTTTCAGGCTACGATGCATTTCTCCACGTGTCGATGCTGCGTGCGGCATCACACACACTATGAGTATGAGTGAGACTGAGACCAAGTAAGTGGATTATAAACCACCGCAGTCGCTGTGCATGTGTGTGAGAATGTGACGATGTGTGTACGCATGGTAATGCCTGTCATAATGTGGGCAAGGCTGCTTACTTATACAGAAGGTCTATACAAAAAAATGTTATGAGTGCATTTGGTATTCTGCTGTGTGTTAAGAAATATTGGCACTAATGCTTTTTTTTCCCTTTTCATTTGAAGTGTTTTTTAGTAGATATGTCTTTTTTTATTGTCTGACCTGCAATAATTAAAAAAAAAAGAAACATTTTAATGACACAAAGAGCTGAAGGCATATGCGTTGAGAAAAATGGACATGCCAAATCTTATCAAACTGTGTGCAGTGGGAGGGGAGGGGCGGGGCGGGTTGTTTACAGATACAGTGTAAGCGTTACCGTTCGTTTTTAATGGTTTGTTGTTGTGTATTTGTTTTAAATTAAGACAGGCTTTAACACTCCTGTTCAGTGTTTTCGTTTTGAGATTTTACAGAAGAAAAATTTATTTAAACAATGAGAACAAGATTAATAAAGATGAAAGTATTGGCTTCTAAGTTTGTCCTTGTGGTTATTTTTTTTTTTTTTTGTCATGAAATGTACACAGCTCTCGTCAGAAATTTGCATAAATTCATCTTGGACATGGATGTTCAGATTAATTGTGTGCTTTTCAATGCAGTTGAGTCATTATGCAAGGACAACTTAAATGTGTTTTTTTTTTGTTTGTTTGTTTTTTACCCAAGAACTGAGTGCCCATGTTTACATTTTTGGGGAATTTTTCTGTACTCTATACAATGTCAATATTCCACTTAAATATTTAGTATTAGGTATAAAACACAATTGAAACAATTTACAATTGTGGTTCTGTGTTTAGGCTGTGAGAGGAACCCATTATGCACAGAATATACACACTTCATTTAGAAAAGACACCAGGTTGTATATCCTCAACCGATTTGGTTCACCTTAAAAATAACAGCTAAAAACACCTAAAAGATTAAAAAAAAAGATGCTATTTATGCCAACTATGAATGTTTGTAGTCTTCTAACCAGAATTATGTGAAATTTCTCTCCTGTTTGGTGATTCGAAATGTGAATTTTCAACTGTATCTCTACCTCATATTAGCAAAAATATTATATATATATATATATATATATATATATATATATATATATATATAATGGGTATTACAACTAAGTCTTGCAGCAAGCCCTGTGTCAGTCATCGTTTTACCATCAACACACCAATCCAATTTAAAACCAACGTCACAACTACAGTCAACAATGGCTTACAGTTAACTGTTTACTTGCTGTAAAGTACTAACGCGATATAAAAAAAGATAACGCGTTTAACTGTCAAAATTCTATTAAGTAGTTCCTTTTGGAGCGGATAACAGTAACTAGAAATTTAATGAATGGTGAAATTAAATAAAGGAGGCGTAGTTAGATTTGACGTTCCAGTTTTAGTACTGACGTGACAGCCAGAGGGTGACATCATCGACGTTGTGAGCACGTACGTCGTTAAGTAACGAGAGGACGGGAGGCAAATCAGAGTGGAGAACGGCCGTTTGTGCTGCTGGAGCTTCTCAGGGACTATCAACAGGGAGCGCAACCGACGACTGAGCTCAGAGCTGGGGGTATGAGAGCTGCCATAATCCGCTCCCATCCTCCTCTGGTCGGTTTCTTGTCCGACTGACAACCATCGGATCAGAAGCTCCACTTAACCAGCTGTCGGACGAACCCGATATCGGGTGAGTGTTGGGTCGCGGAACCATTAAAACCGAGGGGGAAAAGAGACCCGATTCGACCGAAGCGGAGTCTCCTATTCACGGCTTACAGGAGAGGGGGAGGGGGCAAGTACTAGGACTGGCTGTCTACCCTGGCTAGTTGAATGCATGTAAGGGTGCGGTTGTAAGTAAGACAAAAATTTTTTTTGACTTGTTCAACTGGATTAATGTGAAGCTTTCTTAAATATAGAACCTTTTCAGCAGTACGTCCCACGGTTCGGGTAACGTATTCCTCCTACTAGCATAGTCGTAGCGGCTAACAGTCAACTTACGCTGATTCCTGTGGCTTGTATTTCTAACGCAAACTAGTAAAAGCAGACATAAGCTGTTTAAGTCACCTATTTATTATTTTTGTCAAATTATGACTGTAAATGTTTTATACATTTTTTTTTCTAAAAATCACATCGCAGCACTTTGTCAAAAGGAATACCGACTGAATTGTGCCACTACAGCTACAAAACCGTCGTTTTGTTAGCATAAATGGGGGGAGAAAAAAAATGCGCACAAAATGTGGCATCCGTTGAATTCAGAACAAAGTAGTTGTTTGTAGTGACAGCTGTGAGGGGCGTAACGTTAGCAGTGTTCGTGTGATTGCGAAATAATCTGGTTTTGCGTGACTGACATTGTTTTCTTTCTTTTTTTATTTTAAGAGTTCTGAGTAGATGTAATTTCCTGTAAAAGTGCTCCAAACAGAAGTTGTTTAGATTGATGCAAAGCTGAGAAAAAAACCCCAAAATATTTCCTGCTTTACAGTCGTCACTGTGAGGTATTAAAGCTTAAACCAAAGCATTTCAGCTCCTTAGTACATCATGTTTTCGCAGCTACTACTAAGACTCCCGTTGAACCAGCAGATGTGTACTGTACCATCTTGACCAATCCACTCTCCTGGAGACGATTACTACCGTAATAGCACATGTTCTTTTTCCAGTGCAGTGTGACAGGCTAATTCCAATCGCTTCAGCTTATGCACTCACGCTGTCTCCAAGACCTGAAAATGATGAATTTCTCCCATTGCTGTTGAGCTTATGATACTCACACTTTTGAGAATCCTAAAATCCCAGTCATAAGGCAGGGCTAAGACCAATACAAAAGCATTTATTTGAATACATTTATGCTAACAGTACATGCACCAGCCTGGAGGATACAGAGGAATAGAGTTGAGCGTTGTGTGTCTCTTGTTTCTGAACTGAGTGCCCTCTGTTTTAGTTTTGTAATTATTTTACTCCTCAACTCTGGTCTTTTGTTGCAACGCCAGTTCCACACTCTTGTGTGTCATGGCCCTAACCCTTTATTAACTCTGATCCGTCTGCGTCTGTCACATCTGCTGTGGCGAGCTGCTGACATTCAATTTAAAAAAAAATTTTAATTGTTGCCCATGTGCTTTGGATTTTTTTTTTTGTGCTATTAACTAGTTTTATCATAAAACCAGAGGATGTATTTATCCACCTGCTCGTAGTCAAAGTTTTCTAAATAATTACAGTTTTGTGGGTCCGTTTTCTAACTAATGGCATACAACAGGCTTCTTTGGATCTTAAACAGGTACTAAATGTTAAATTATTATGGATAAAAACATGAAATAAGTAAAATAATCAGAGAAGCCCCAAAAAAAAAATACACTTATAAACCTTAATTGGACTTTTTTTTTTTTTAGCTTAACCATCACTGACCAGTGATCAACCTTTCAAAACATCCCATATGTAGTGAGTGAGTTGCAAGATGACACACAGGGAAGCAAGAAGAGGTTAAATGGAAGCTATTTTACTAAGTCTGAAGGTGTGTTTATAGTTTTTTTTAGGCTGAGAGAGAGCAGAACTTTAAAGCTGCAGTATGTAGCTTTCCTAAAAAAATTTTTTTTTTTTTTTTTTTTTTTACATATATATTTGTTAAAATTGTCACCACGTTGGGCCAGTGTAATATGAGACAATCTTTGAAAAGATCTTCCCTGATTTGTTAATGTTAAAATGTACAGCTCCTGGTCCAAAACAACCAATCAGAGCCAGGAGGAGCGTCTAAGCGCTGTCAGTCAACCACAGTGTAAGTGTGCTAATGGTGGAGAAACAACTTATTGTTTTTCATTATTTTATTGAAATTTTAAATTGCTATGGAAATTAGTTGTTTTGGCTAGACAAATACTAACTCAAGATATCAGTTAATGTAATTCTGGCTAGTCAGAATGTTAATTCAAGTTATCTCAATTAATTAAATGAATGAATTGATGTCACCTAATTTGTTTGGAGATGTCTTGAAAGGAATTTAGACTAGTCAGAATTATAGATCCATATATTTCTAATTTAGTTTTGCCTAGTCATTATTTTCTTAAAGGTGTCTGCAATTTAATTTGCACTAGTCAAATCTAAAAATCTTAAGATGGCTTGAATCATGGTGTCATTCAAGATATTTTTGACTATTCAGAACAAAAAGTGAGATCTTAAATCTACTTCATGACTAGTCATAATTTATTTTTTTAATATCATAAATATTTGTTTCTGATGGTCAGTAATTAATCGTTGATATCTCACATTAAAGCTCCCTCACAAATTAATGGTAGCTGTGATGTCATTTATTCTAGACAGAATCTATTTGAGAGATATCGCAAATGGGTATTTTGTCTCGTCAAAACATAATTAAAGATACCTTAATGTACTAATGTGTCTAGCCATGCATCAATTTTTAATACCTGGAATACAACCGAAACTGATTTTATGTTAAAACTGCCTGCCATACTGGTTCTCGGAGGATTGTTGCCTGATTTGTTCGAGTTGTCTTCAAACTGAACTTGTTTTGAAGATTCAGATTTTTCTCTCTTGAGTAAGATAAACCGAGGTCGTTTTGTGGTCCCATCCAAGGAATCGATATGTTATCTGTGTGCTTGTTCCCTCAGTATGAATGTGTTTGTAGGCTCGGTCTGTGTTCTCCGTATTCTCTGCATTTTGGAAACGGCACATTTTGTCGACACGGCGTTCCCAGATTTAACATTGGGAGTAAACCCTCGTCTAATGAGCGCCGCTCCGCAGCTCTGGGCTTTCTGGAGTTCATCACACAGACCCAACGGTCCGAGGGCTCTGACACAGATCCAGCCAGCCAGTTGCTCTCCGTCGCCGCGGCCGCTCATGCCTCCTTTCCTTCGGCGTTGCCAGCCCAGCGTGGCAGAGAGCTCAGCCTCGCTTTTGGCAGTGGCTGCTCAACGTGGCGTGGTCGAGCGCAGCGCTAAATAAGTGATGATCCCGCGCCGCCATCACGTGCGAGCTTGGCTCAGAAATTGCTCTCGATTTCCTCATGCATCCCGAAGCCTCGTGCTCGTGCAGCATCAGGTCCTCCTCGTTCCTCTTCCAAGTTTAAACCGGCATTTATACGTTGGCCTCTTTTTCTTTCTTTTTTTTTTTCTCGCTCCTCCTTTCTTCTGCTGAGCCCAAAGCAGTCCTCCACCCCATCATCCCTAGCTACCCTGCAAGTTCCACTGTTTTTTCTTTTTTTATGTTCTTGAGTCTAGATGTGTTTTCCAGCTAACGGGATGCATCGTCTTGTAAACGTGGAGAGTTTTGCTGGTATAAATTCATCATATGAGAAACCGAGTCTCAACAAAGACTTGAGTCATTCTGTCACGTGGCAAAATAAAGAAACTGGCTCCACGTTTAACACTGAAAGGTTTTTGACCAAGGGGAGACTGATATGAACTTAGTTTTGTTACAAAACCGTGGTGGTAATGTCATAAAAGTGATAAGAGCTGTTTATTACTACTTTTTATGTAACTCTGAGGCTGTGACTGCATGGCACAGCAATTGTAGCCTCTCATGCACAAATTCTGCTCTTGACTAACATTTCCTTTTTATAAGGCGTTTCTTCAGGACACCAGTCACACAGAGAAGTGTGATTTATGCCACTAAACCAAGATTATTATAGTTAACTGAAATGAACAAAACAATGAAATCTGAAATTGAGAGAACATTTTTGTTGACTGAAATAAATAAAAACAACAACTAATGGGGGGAAACTATAACCAGGTGGAACTTGTAAAACTAAAACATTCTGAAATGAGAGATAGACTATGCTTTGTCTTTGTTTATGAATCTATTGATTAACTTTTTGATCTGATGTGAAATAAATTTTTGTGTGTGTATGTATATATATATATATATATATATATATTATTTTTTTCTTTCTTCCCTCCTCTCGGCACTTAAGCTTAGCCCACAAAATGGTGACAGCAAAAGTTTGGAGGAAACGCCATGAGTCGTTTGTTGTTCCACAATAATTGAATACATTTTTTGAAAATGGTATCTTCTGTTAAGCATTTATTAACCAATCGATGTACACATAATCACCTTTTAGTAAACAAATGAGCGAAACTACAACTTTAATAAAAACTAAAAAATTATATAACTAATTAAGAAAAACTAGCAGATACGCTCTAAAAACTAGTCAAAACTAGCAGTTAAAATGGAAAAACTGAATCATAATGAAAAACCCAAAAATGATTATACAGTAACTGCATATAACCATTTTTAATAATAAAAAAAAAAACGTATATTTATTGATGCACTCGTTGAGCAAACGGCGGAGAAATTGGTAACATACGGACAACGGACAGTTTTAAGGGATTTTACACATTAATTTGAATTTATCGAGCCAACAAATCAAAACTCTTAAAATAAATTTATCACTATAGATGACAAACGACACGTTGAATGACCACCCTTATTTTGACCCCCAAACTACGTCTTAATAACGAGCCACAGAGTTGAGAATGTGTTTATATGTTGCTTTTTTTCCCCCCTGTAGATCTACGTTGTCCGTTGATGACAGTGACACCTCGCAACCATGGAGCTGAGAGTGGGGAACAAATACCGACTGGGGCGAAAGATAGGGAGTGGATCCTTCGGAGACATTTACCTCGGTAAGCATGGGAGGGAAACTGTTCCTCACCTTCCTCCATCGTCGGGCAGCTCAACCTGCTTCTCCTGCGCGTCCCGTACAGATGTGGTTATTTCTGTCTGCTTCTCCTCAGGTGCCAACATTGCGACGGGCGAGGAAGTCGCCATCAAGCTGGAATGTGTGAAGACCAAACACCCACAGTTGCACATTGAAAGCAAGTTCTACAAGATGATGCAGGGGGGAGGTGAGCCGCCTGCTGCTTCAACGCGCTCTGCAGGATTTTTCAGCGCATTCCTTCACAGACGTTGCTGCGGCGGCGCAAAAACATCCTGCTAAACCTGACGCTTGAACAATGAAATTTAAATTCTCTTAATTTATTTTTTTTTTTTAACCTTCAGGGTCAGTCTGGGATTTTATTTTATTTTTTTCAGTTTGCTGAAATCAACCACTTTTATCCTGGTTTTTATCTGTTTTATTGAGATAGTTGAGTCTTACTAGAAATACCAGAGAATGTCGTATTACTGTTGGCATGACGATAGACAAATAACCAATTAAAGGTTTTCACATTACAGTAATATTACCAAATGAAGCCTAGACAGGAAAGCAGATGCTGCTCTGAAATGTGTCCACTTAGCAGAATCAAAATGACCTTTGTAACTATTTTGTCGTTCATCAACCAAAATATATATATTTATTTATTTTGTTTTTAACTGATGTTGTACCACAAAAATGCTTTCCCCCCATTTTTTCAGTGGCAAAGAAGTTCAACAGATTCTGCTTGCATAATTTCCATATGCTGTCAAATCGGAGTTAAAACTTAGTTCTGCTTGTGTTAAAAAGTTGAACTTGTTAAATCTGTGTCATTAATTGATCAAAATTAATGCGTTAAAAGTCATGTAACTTTTCCTTACCCTACCTGGGCACGAATACAGTTTATGTATTACTCTGTTTCATCTCCACATATTCCTCAATATTCAGTTAATGCTACTTTTCCCTTACCACCCTTGCAGTTTTAGTGTTTATTCAAAACATGATCGTGTGGGAAGCAGGGATGGGTAATAGAACGAGCAACCTGTCTGTGTTTACATGGCAGAGTGACTGTTTATTCTAGTGAACTGATTTACTTCCTAAACACAAAGCACCACTGTTGAGATGATGATACTGCTACACAAAAGAAACAGCAGAATAACCAGTCCTTCAGTATAAATAAAGGCTAAAATTCACCTTAACACCACTTAAATCAACTTTGCTGCAGTTTTAATGACTCTTTTTCAAGACAATGCTGTTGTTCTGCCACTCAACCCTACATACTCCCGTTTTATTTTATCTGACCAGTCGGGATCCCGTCGATAAAGTGGTGTGGCGCCGAGGGCGACTACAACGTCATGGTGATGGAGCTGCTGGGGCCCAGCCTGGAGGACCTTTTTAACTTCTGCTCCAGGAAGTTCAGCCTGAAGACGGTCCTGCTTCTGGCAGACCAGATGGTGAGACTCAAACTTCGCCTTACAGAAACACTCAGTCAGCCACTATCAATGTGAACGAGATATTTACGCTGCCAGTAGAGAAGCATGATAGGAGTGACTCTTTCTGCAGCAGCTCAGTGTGTAAACATTGTATACGATTCCCTTGAAATCTTTTTAGAGGATCTGGATGTTTCGATTTCCTCTCCTTGTCTGCTGTCGGCTTTACTCTGTGTTGACTGAGATATTTCATATCACAGGTCAGACTCTCGACTCACCTTTTGCCCCCGACATGTTGGCATGTCAGATGTCCATATGGTCATCCGATTGGCTGCTTTTCAGCCTTGCGGGGTCGTGACCTTCCTGTCCTGACTTGTCCCGCTGCCACTACCAATCTGTCCTCCTTCTGTCCGTTCACCTAAGAAGCTCTCGCGCGGCCGACTGTCGGCGTAACAGAAATGTTTCCTTTCCAGATCAGTCGCATCGAGTACATCCACTCCAAGAACTTCATCCACAGAGATGTGAAGCCAGATAACTTCCTCATGGGTTTGGGCAAGAAGGGCAACCTGGTGTACATCATCGACTTTGGGCTGGCCAAAAAGTACCGCGACGCGCGCACGCACCAGCACATCCCTTATAGGGAGAACAAGAACCTGACGGGAACGGCGCGCTACGCCTCCATCAACACGCATCTTGGAATCGGTGAGACCCTGACGCGAGTTTCACTGCGATATCTACAGAGGGAGAATGATGCCATAGTCGTTTGTTTCACAGTGTTTGCGCATCAAACCCAGAGGTTTTCCTCTTATCAGGGTCGCTCTGTTCTGGCTCAGCTACCTGATAATCTGGGTCACATTGACCTTTGCCTGGTGGTAGAGTTTAGTGGATGCACAGACCTAATTGTCCTTGGAGTTTTCTGTGTGTGTGTGTTTTATTTTATTTTATTATTCTTATTGAAAATGTATTGGTGGTGTATGATGGTTTTCAGATGTGGAAAGGTTTGCTGCTACCATCTCATGAACAGTTGATGCTCCTTTTTGTTCAGACATTCTGATTGGTCACAGCAACTGATGCTCCTGAATAAAGCTAAGAGGTGTTTAAAAATAATGTGACTATGGCTGAGTGATATGTACGGAAGAGGATTAGAGCCACTGGAAAAAAAAAAAATCTCGGAATTCGGACTATATCTCACAATTCCGAAAAAAGTCAGAAGTTGTTTTTTTTTTTTTAGTCCCTAATCATTTTCCGTAGATTTGGCTTAAAATTTTATTTCATAGTATTCTGATTTTAATTGATTTCTTCTACAAAAAAAAGAGGCTTTTTCTCTTTCTTTCCTTAAAACTAATTATCGAATGACTGAAAACATTTTCAAAATCTGGCCTCCAGTCATCCTTTCTGTGAGTTGTATTAGGTCTTGAAGAATTTTTGTTCAATTAAGGAATAAAGTAGTTTTAATAAGAAAAAAGCTCCTTAAATGATTTTTGTAAGTGTCGGCCACCCTAACAAGAATTATTATTGTCATTAGTTGACAATCATCTCAAATGGGACAATTAACCAACTACTTTTTTTTCTGCTTTCAAATTAGATTTTTCAAGCAAGTATTTCTTATACTTTAGCTCCATAATATTGCCAGAAGTTGAACTCTACCAAGAAGTAAAATTGCAACAATTCTTTAAACCCCCAGATGTTTGTCCTTAAAATCATCAGGTTTAGTTCTGTCTCATTCATGCACTCCTGGCACTTCGTGTCCACAGAGCAGTCGAGACGTGACGACCTGGAGTCCCTCGGTTACGTCCTCATGTACTTCAACCTGGGCTCGCTGCCCTGGCAGGGCCTCAAGGCTGCCACCAAGAGACAGAAGTACGAGCGAATCAGCGAGAAGAAGATGTCCACACCCATCGAAGTTCTTTGCAAAGGATATCCTTGTGAGTCCTCAGGCAGCTCCTGAAACCATCCACAGCTTCTGTTGTTTAGTTTGTTCTGCTTAAAACGGAACTGGGGATTCTAGTATTTGTGTCGACGCTTGCAGGTATTCTGACTTTCCTGTATATTCACTTTTTCTTTCGTTCTGGTTTTTTTTTTGTTTGTTTTTCTTTCTACAGCCGAGTTCTCTACATACCTGAATTTTTGCCGCTCACTCCGTTTCGATGACAAACCGGACTACTCCTACCTACGCCAACTGTTCAGGAATCTCTTCCACCGACAAGGATTCTCCTACGATTACGTCTTTGACTGGAACATGCTCAAATTTGTATGTTGTTTTTTTCTTCTTCTTCTTCTTCTTTTGTATCCAAACTTTCCTTGCTTATTGAAACCTTCAGTGGAAATCTCCTAATATGGCCGATTGCATTTCTCAGGGCGCCAGTCGATCAACCGAGGATGGGGATCGTGACAGAAGGGCCGGGGACGAACGAGACGACCGGATTGGAGGAGCCCCCAGGGGTTCTGCGTCGCGGGGCCTCCCCTCGGCCCCCGCCCCAGGTGCTCCCAACAGAGTCCGGAATGGACCAGAGCAAGCCATCTCAAACCCGGCCTCACGGGTCCAGCAGTCTGGTAGGTTACTGACTAAAACACATTCCAGTTTTAAAATTTAAAGGGGCAGTATTATGCAAAGTTGACTTTTTTACGTCATGGTATGTTATTAGTCCTTCATCTAAAACATACCTAGTGTGTTTTTGATCATTTCATGCACGTTTAAGAAATCCTGTAATCTCCCGTGGCAACCGTTCAACTAGTGCAAAATGCTTTGGGGGGCCAAAGCATTTTGCCCCCTTGAGGACAAACGCTTCTCCTCAGAGCTGCATTTTACAAGTTCCCGACTCACAGAGCAGCCCTCCCCCCACTCAGCTCCTTCAGACTAGCCAGCAGCAATTAGCAAACACCTGGTGGATTTTCCCATCTGCTGTGCTCATTATAGTAGCTGCTTCTCAATGAAATGCTGGTTAATTGAGAAGCGATGATGTGATGACTTCCTAAAGGCAGGGTTTCTTAAAGAGACAGGACAATTTAAAGTCGTTAAATTAGGAAGTCATTTTTGATGAGTACAGTATTTTTAGAACGCAGTTTACTTGATTGTGCTGTAAAATGATACCAAGTGGCTGTAAAACGCATATTGCCCCTTTAAATCACTTTGCTGACTCGATGTTTTCTAGAAAATCTTCATCAGAAGCCCTCTCTTATTTCTCTTCCCTACAGGCAACACGTCACCTCGTGCAATTTCCCGCGCTGAGCGGGAGAGGAAGGTGAGCATGCGTTTACACCGTGGCGCTCCTGCCAACGTATCGTCCTCTGACCTCACGGCCCGACAAGACCAGTCCAGGATTTCCACGTCACAGGTGAGACGACATTCAAGGCACTGAGTTTTTCCAAGCAAAACTGTAATCATCCTTGAAATTAGAACCCTCCTTCCTCACAAATATTGTTTTAAAACAAGAGGTACATGGAATTGATTTACTCATATGCTAGATTAGTGTTGTTTGCACTGTTCCCTGCTGGGATCAACTCCAACATTAAACCTCTAACTTCTGATGTTAATCTCATGAGATTTTGGAGGTAATCACAGCTTACTGTTTCAGTGTTCAGCAATAGAATTAATTCCCCTTGAGATTTGCTACATTTTCCCACAATACATCTCCAAACGTTGATGTGTTTGATATGATGGACAAACTCGGTGTATCACATGGTTGACTGTGAAGAGGTGTAGCAATAAAACATGCCTCAATAAAATTCAGTTCATTCAGTTGTGAAGGCTCCTCATTAGCATTAAATGTCTGAGTAATCTTAGTAATAATGGAGAGTTTTGCAAGTATTGTTTTGCAAGATTTGCAGCTGTAATTGCTGCGAATCTTGTATAAATCTGTTAAAAATGTGTTTTTTCGAATTGAAAAGAAAATTAAAACCATGTATAATTTTCCTTCACTTCACAATTATACCCTACTTGGTGTTTCACTTTAAATTCTCCATATGAACATTGAAGTGAGTGTACCGTAGCGAAGCAAGTAACCTTTTGAGTAAGCAAAGTTACTCAATAGGGTTGTTGCTAGGTAACCAAAGAGTGAGTGAGTTCATTGATGCTACTTGCTTAGCTGGCTGTGAGTGGTTGAAAGAGAAGTCTTTCTTCTGCCTACATCTCCCAGAATGCTGTGCGATTCAGCGAATATTCTATCAGATATTGATCATGTGTCTATTGCAACATGTATAGTTATTGATTTATTGACTTGCCCTACTGCATTGTGTGGAGCCACAGCTGAGTTGGAAGTTTATAAAGTGACTTTTAAGACAAAAAAGCCAAAATCAGAATTGGCAGGGCAGGCTTTTTAAGCATCAGTGATTGGCCAGAAAACTGCAATCGGTGCAGCTCTAGTTTACCTTATGGGAAGTTAAATCCATTCAAATCCATCCATTTACATTTCAGTTTAATATTGTAAACTGGAAGTTATTTGCCTTAAACTTTATTCCGCCGTCTTTTGCAGGTCAGCGTGCCATTCGAGCACATTGGGAAGTGAGATTTTGCAGCTCCTCATGCACACACATATGACAGGTGAGTTCAAATTTGACATTTTCTATTGTTTAGAAATATAAATACAAAGTCTAATTCTCATCCTTTGTTGTTTTTGCAGGGCTGCAAGGAATTTTTGTCACTATTTTTTTCTTTACCCCCAACGTTCTTTATACTTTGTTTATTGCAAAACTGTTCAATGGACATGCAGTTTTTTTGTTTTTGTTTTTTTTAAATCTTTTTTCTTTTTCTTTTTTTTGCTGCAACGAGATATTAAATGTTTAAAGGATTCAGGAAAATACACGAAGGTGTTCAACATGCGTTCTTAAACATAGGATCACCACCACAACACATCAATGACAATGCTGCACCTTGACAGTTGCTCATTCCCACCCTGTTGTTGTTTTTCCTCTAAACATTCCCTTGAAAACAGTCAGCATTGAAGGAGAAAAAAAAAAAAAAAAAAAAGAGATTTCAGGAACATGCATGTTTCTTATTGATGGTTGATCAGACTTAGAAAATTCACCCCTTTTTTTTCCCCCAGAAAAAAGTGACTGTCATCTTCATTATTCATGAAGGAATATGAAATCGAAGGTTGAGTATCCCTTGTTTGTTTTTTTCCTTATTTTATTCTTTGTATTTTTTTTTTTTTTTTTAAGAATTGAAAGCTAAATCGGTCGAGGCATGTAGATTGGAGGGTGGCAACCAGAGAGGAAAAGAAGCGAATGAGTAGAGTGATGTTTTTGTTTTTTGTTGTTTTTTTTAGCTGTTGTAATATTCCTGGTGAAGTATCTGGTTATCTGCTTTTCAACCCCCACATCCACTTTTAGACATAAAAATCCTCTGCACATCTACTCTGCATATCCTTTTGTTTTTACAAGCTTTTATTTTGTATTGTTAATTTTTTTTTTTTTTTTGGCTTTGATTTTAATCTGTGGCGGTAAAAAATCTGATTATGGAAATTCGAAGGACTCACTCCCAAGTCTTGAGCGAAGCTCCTCAGGAAATATCTCAGCATACCGATATTCGACCTGAGACCACAGCTGCCCATTTTGGCTTACAAACAGGGGATGCAATTTTTATGATATTTCTTAAAAGTTACCTTTTTTATTCATTTGTTATTTGGGGCTTTGAAGAAGAGGTGAGGGTGGGGGGCAGTCACTGTTAGGAACATGAGGGTGGGTCGGGGCATCAACCTTTTTTTTTTTTCTTTATTTTCTTTTCTGTCGTTTACTCCAGTGTAAATATTTTTTTATTTCATTGTAAAGCCAAAATGTGGTTATTGTAAAGGTGTAAAGTAGAAAAATGCATACTAATGACTTATAGGGCGTTGAATCCGAAATAAACGTGGAGATAGGCGACTGTTGCTGTGCCAGCTGGGTCATCCAACAGGTGTGAGTGAGTCGAGTGCTTCAGTGAAACCTCTAAGATCAATAACATCATTTCATCTGTTCAGATCCTCCTTTATTCCCCCCAAAAAATGACTTTCAGTATTTCTGTTACAGAAAAATAAATTGGTTTAGTTGACACTGCATTCTCTTTATTTAACCCCTCTCCAACTTTGTCATTAGATGCATCTGCTGGCGTGTGTGTGTGTGTGAATGTGTATGGAGTGCACTGTGTATAGTTGCCATTGTACAGGCCACCATGACCCAGTGGCATTGCAGTTGTAGATTTGAGGATGATGTACAAGAGGATGAAGCAAAAGGTATTTCACATTGTGTATTGTGTACCGATATCCTGTACAGTTCTTTAACACTATTTACAGTATTTGTGTATATTTTATGAAGTAATAAAATGGATAATGTTGCTGACAATCTGGGTTGTTTTTTTTTTATATTTGCACTTGCATGAATGAATGAGCTGGACTCTTGCGTTTAGGGAGGAAAACATGCAGGGTCTGGATACATATGAGAGGATATTAGAAATATGTCCAGGCTTTATTACATTTTCCCTCATTTAAAAGTTGTACACCTGTCAGTCCATTCCATCAATTCCTTTACCTAATTATCACTCCTGTCTTCCACCCATTTGTCCATCAAAACAAGTGATTTTTTTTTTCCTGTTTCATTATAGTCAGGGTTTTCTCGTTTATTTAAAACATGACTACTTAAAATATTTGGCATAATTTCATAAGGACGTTTTGTTTTAAACTTTTAAAATTTGATTAGGTAAAGCTCGGAAATTCGCAATATTGGACAAGTTAAATCTTTACTTCGCCATTAAAAATATGTGGTTCTCTGAATGGAAGTTGAAGGAGGAGGGGAGTGGTGTTGAGAACTTGGTCGTAACCAACCATCAACTGGGCGCGCATGCGCTCTAGGAGCAGAGTTCCAGCGAGCGGCTGTTGACACACAGCTTTATGATGTGGGCGAAGTAACGGTCTGTGGTCATTCTGTTTTGGACTTCTAAAAAAAACAGTTCTCTTTCTTTTTACTACCGTTTTTTTCGTGGGGTCTCTTACTCGACTTCAATTCTTAGTTATCTCTTCATGTAAAGCGAGGCTTTGGGCGGTGGGAAGCTTTGCTACTCTCTAGCTAGCAGCGAGCGGATCAGCTGCCGAGCGGGCGACACTTCACAGCTTTTATGGGAAGAGAGGGAGAAGCTTCCGGTGTTCAGATAATAATGCTATGATTACATACGTGGCTCGCTGTCGACTCGATATTAGCCGTTAGCCCTTCAATTTTTAGCTTGGACTCCTGAAGGTTCACCATTCAGTTGGAGATGAAGAGCTAAATTGATGCTTGGATTCAAACATCTACAAAGGAGGTAAGCTGACATTAGCAACACGGAGACATTCAGCAGGAAATATTAGTCCGTTTTGTTTTGTCTGTCTCCAAGCTCGCTCAACTTCTGAATCCGTAATCAAAATCAATATCAGCTTTAGGGTAAATTTTATTTGTTAACTGTTATTTCTCTCCCCACATGTAACGTATACGTTTCTAATTCCCTGCGTTATTAAATGATTTTGTTCATTCCTGCTGACGTGACAGCAGATTTATTTGTGAATGCTTTACCCCAGAGGCAGCTGGTTCGATACAGCTCAAAGTACAACCCGTGTTGTGAAACCTATCCTCGGATGAAGTCAGCAGGATCGATGAGCTGCTCCTATCTGTTGTCTGTGGCCCACTGGGAACCAGTAAGCCGTTACTGGAGCTACAAGCTGCCTCATACGAGAGGTTAACCCATTCTGGTTGTTATCCATCTCTCCTTTTCTCATTTTTAAGGGCCATTCTGCTGTATTTATAGACTAAAGTACCTTAAATAATTCAACTTTATGTGGATTATTTTATGCCAGTGAAACAAACAAACAACAAAAACAGATTCATGTTTTTTGGGGTTTTCATGGAACTTCGGTTGGAAAACTACACCAGTTATTGGACAGAGTTATTCTACACTGACTGAAAAATACAGGTAGTAATTTTTGAAACTTTCATTGGATTTGTAGAACCATTAAGGTTGATTTCTATGATCTAAGACCATCTTAGGTTATTGTAAATAACAGACAAAATAAATATTTTTAATTTAAAAAAAATATTTATTGAATATGTGACAAATTAAAGTTTAAAGCATTTGTTGTTAATTGTTGGCTTGAAAACTAGAATCAAGAAATAGACAAAAAGCCTTAAAATCACTGCCTTTCAGTCTAAAATTTTAAAACTTTCTGTTTTTATTTAATCCGTCATTTGGACGCCTTAATCTAGTTCTGATTTGAAGCTCCGAATGGATGTAATGAACTTCAGCTATGTTTGTAATTTAACCAATAGTTATGCAGGTGTATCGATACACAGCAAAAATCCAACAGTGCTTAAAGGAAAAGCAAAAAGAAAATAAATTTTTGCTTTAAAAGAGTTAGTTTACTGTGTCACAAATGCATACAAAGAAACAAATGTTAAAATGCAGATTTAAAAGTCCAAACTGAATATAAATTTAAATCCAAATCTGATGCTTTAATCACTCACCAGAAAGCAGTTCATTGGTCAGATTTGTTTTATTGAAATCTGATGTAAACAAAAATGTCTTCAGTCCCGATTTAAACGTTTTCTGGACATCTCAGGTTTCCAGGGAGTTTGTTGGCCGTGGCAAACGTTCAGACCGGTGTTTTTTTTTAACCAGTGTGTGGAGAAAATCAAAAGCGAGTCGCTGAATTATACATGGTGGTCATATTGAGAAGTACAACGATGCAGAAAAACAGGGCTGGTGTTTGAAAATGACATTGATGGATTGTCTGATCTGTCCTGAACTCAAGTTTCCTGAACAATCTGGTAAAGAAATGGATTTGATACACAGAACCATTCAATAAACAAGAATATTATTGAAATATCCTTTTTATTTCAGGAACTTTATCACATTATATTGATTAATTACACCCAGAAGGATGTTTGAAAACTTTATTTCTGTAATTTATAATGATTTTTCACTTACCGTTAATGAAAACATGACATTTAAAATTATATTATTACATGAGATCAATAAAAACTTTTTTTTAAATAAGACTGTGTACTTAATGAAAAGTATGTTTAATATATGCTTAAAGGTTATCAATTTTCACAGGGTAATTTTAATCTTACAACACCCATAATCAAATTTATTGAATGATGATAAATGATAAATTAAAATTATTAAGTAAATAATAAAATTATTAAGTAATTATGTCACATGATAAATTAAAATTAGATTGATCATTTCTGTTCTGATGGTTAATTTTGAACGGAAAGTCAAAAGCTGCTTTATTTACGGTTTCGGTTCTGGGTTGTTTTTATTTCCGTTCTGTTCATTTTATTTTGGATATTTACATTGTCTTCCAGTTCCAGTGTTGACTGCTCCTTGCAAAATTAAAGCGTTTTGGTCTTTGAGAGAGCAAACGTCCATTATCGATATATTGGTTGAAACTGGTCTCAGAGCAACGAATTGTCGTCCAGAAAGATTTGTTCTCTATAAGTTTAAAGAAAAAACGTAGGTGAAGATGATGAATAAAAAAGAAAAAAAAAATAGAGTTAAAATGTTCACCCGTTTGTTTGTTTTTTGTTTGTTTTTTCATAATGGGAGATGAAAAATAATGGGAATGAGTCCGTTTTCATTGAATCGGCTCTGGTTGTTGATCCAGGTCACTCAGCAAATGCAGGAGAATAGTTTTATTAAATGGATTAAATTTAAAAATAAATCTATTTCCTGCCATTCTTAGCCTACAAACATGACACAGGTTTTTCAGACTGCTACAAATCTGACGGAGGTTGTTGATACATCAAATG